TGTATGGGAGATCTGTATAAACAATAAGAACCATTTTTTTTTTTCGTATGCTGATTAATATAGTGACAACCAAGTGGGAATTAGAACTGAAACTGTGGGAAGCAGAAACATAAACAAAAACACAATTAGTAGCAATAGCATATCTAAAAAATTTAAACCGAGGCATAAACACTAAAACTTTGTTGCACTTGCAGATCTGGATGTGAACCTGTAAATCGGAAGGAGAAGAAGAAGAGAGAAGAAAGAGAAAGAGGAAATTGATAGTAACGTTTGAATATCTCACCCTCTCTCTTTTTTATTATCTCTCTTTCTTTCCGTTTGTTTAATATCTTCCCCTCTCTTTTTTATTCCTTTTCCTCCTCCTCCTCCTCTCTCTCTCTCTCTCTCTCTCTCTCTCTCTTATTTTTCCTTCTTCCTCTCTCCCTCTCTTCCTCTTTTCTTTCTTCTCAACCGGTTGATTTCTTGTCCATGGTAGACTGATTATTTGATTGGTCTAGATTAAGCCTATACACTAAGCCTAATCTCAAAATCAACACTGTGCTGAAGCATACCCCAACCACCCCTAGTTCCGCCCTTATGTCTGGGAATTTCAAAACTCTGCCCTCATGAGTGAAGGTGGAGACTTTTGATAACACGTCCAAAGTTTCCTATTTAATATTTTAAAAATACCAACATAAGAATATAATAATCACATCAACATAATCTCCTATCAAGTGTTTTGTCGACACCAAATTATTCTATTAAATACTAAACGACATAAAACTGTTGCTACCTCTAATGGATAAAAGGAAACCAAACCTTATACCTTTATATTATCCACAAATGCAGCAAATTAAGGAAATCATATTCAACCAAATGTTTTTTGTTTTTTAAAGCACGTTTTCTGGTTTCCAATCCCTAGCCACTGAAATCAAAATCAATAACATCGAGAACACCGCAGCTTCAACAAATAAATTTAAATTGCCCATGACATGATCATAGACTTGTCAACCCTATTTGGATTTTGGACGTAATCTATTGGTGGATATGTGCAAGCTTTTGTGCCCTTTCTATTTCCCAAAGAGGTGTGGATTATTTTATTGACCGGGTCCAAAACTTAGAAAAATGTGGGCCCATATAAAAATAAAACTATATAATAAATTTGTATACCATGTAAATATATCATGGAGGTGGATCCAGCTGTATTATTTTTATCCAATTTGTACTAAGGATCTTGGATCTTGTTAGAGATTCTCTCTATTATGTAAATAAATTTTTATGTAACGTTTCTTATTTCTTAGAACGCGTTGTCTATGATTTCCAAAGGAAGATAACGCGGTTTTGTGTTTTGTATCTTTTTCTCCCACTCTTTCTATGTTCCTCGTCGTCGTTATTTAAACACCTCACACTCCACCAAAGTATCAAACACACACACACTGGAGAAATTATACAATAGTACGGTACTATCACGTGGCAGTACGCACCAATTGCATAATGACATGTGGCGGGACTGTCTTTTAAGAGAGAGAATGTTAACATCCAGATTTAATAGTAACACCGTTAGTAACCAACTTTCTTTTTTGTTTTCTGTTTTTGTTTTAAGAAATAAAATACAAACCCTAAAACATAATTACTTTTATCGAAATCTGCACCACCGTCAATAACCAACTTTCAAGCGCCACTATTCTGAAAAGAAGGAAGACTTTTGCAGCCTTTTTGTTTTGGTCAAGCTCAAAGCTATGGATAGAGGTAAACAACTATCCTCGAGATTGGCCATGGAAATGGAGAAATGTTCAGAAGCAGAGAAGGGTTGTTTGGAGTTGAACCCAGATGGGGAAGAAGACAACAAGACTGAGGAGCTAGGTTTCAAGCCAAAGGTTAGAAGTGTAATTTCGGCACAGAGGAAGCTCGTGAAGACCATGATTCTTCTTGATATAGTTCAGTTTTGGTCTGACATTTCAAACGCTACTTTTTCCACCAAGGCTAAAGCATCAAACGTGAAGAAGAAGATGATCAGCAGCCGCCTCGTCTGTCCAGCCCTGCCATAGCCATGTAATGCATGCAACGTCATGAAGTTGGTGCCTTGGTTGCGGGTTTAAGTCCAACTCGCACGGTTTGCAAACGTTTTTTTTCTTTGCTTTTTATATTTTTGTTGTTTCAGTGCTTTTTCCTTTCGTGATGTCTGTGGCTTGTCGTGATGTTGGTGTTTCAGTACTCATGGTATAAATAAATATATTTGATACCATGATCTCTCTCTCTCTCTCTCTCTCTCTCTCTCCACATCACCTTTATCTATTTGATTGCATATAAGCTATTACTCTGTTAATCAGAGATATCCTAGTTCAATTTTTAGCTGTTGTAATTACCATTTGGTATCAAATTGATTGTCCCCATAAAAATATTTCCCCTATACATGGAAGCATTGGAGCACTTCACTCAAATAAGATATGTCATATTTTATTTTAACATCTTCATACTCTTCTTCCAACCGAAATGCCATTTAGTTATTTTACTAATATAAAAAGCTAATATTAATCACAAGATGGGATCCACGCTATTAAAAATAATCTATATAATAATAAAGGAAGTTGCATTCAGGTGGGAACTCTAACTTTAAAAAAGTCACAAAAAATAATGAATTTGACGTCAAAAACTATAGCTTTTATTCCAGGTCAACTTTAACATAAATGATTAGTCCATGTTTCAATCGAACTCTCCAACTCCAAGTATTTTCCTTATCCATAAAGAGAAGTCATCTTCTATTTTTGGCCTCAAGGGACATTTTCATATAAACTAAAACCAAACACTGATTTGAGTTTGACAAATAATAATATAGCTAAGATTGTGTCATATAATCTCCCTACAAACTAAGTCATACTGGATATCAGAACCCTAATGAAGTATAATTCTTGACAATTGATCCTAATGAAGTCTAACCTCTTGACATCAGAACCCTAATGAACCCTAATTCCCATAGTGTAGAATTTGGAAGCTAAATTTGTCATATAACATATATAATTAATTACAAGGATTAAGCCGTTAAATGATCCATCTCTCGCATTGTTTAGGCATTGGTTGGTAGCAGAAATCAATGATAACAGATTATGATATGAAGCTTTTTTCTTTTGCCATGATTTTTTAATTATGTTGGGATGTCACAAGGAAGACGACATTTTATTCCCTGTTACTATCATCTTTGTCATTTCTTTATTTATAGTCCACCCCTATCCAAAGGCAAACCATATTGCAAATTTTTCAAATTAAAAAAAAAAACTAATTTAATTTATTTTTTTATTTTTTTATTTTTTTATAGTTCACATAATCATGAAAGTCCTTTGAATTCAAAAGCCTCTTCCTCAGGAGAGGAGAGTCAGCAGCAGCCGGCAATATCATTGTCAGTAAAGCCCGAAATGTAGATAAGACTCCGCTGTTTACAACGTTGGCTAATTTATGCTTTATGTTTGGTTTGGAAAACGCTGGGTGGGCGGGGTCTTCGGGGGAGACTACTCTACCCCATCAAGGAAGTTGGGGGGAAACCATCTCACTCCGTCTTACTATCTATCAGTTTATAGTCAAAACCACATAAAATTCCCATTTCCAAAAATATCTACATATCTAGACGTAAGTTAAGTCACTTATACAAAATGCTTCTTTGTTTATTTTCGAGTTTGGTTTCTCTCTATGTAAATTAGATTAAATCAGATTCGTTTCGGTCAAAGTTTGATTTCTCTCTGTCTAAATTATATTAAATGCGTAATTTAGACTCTCGCATTGTATATAAAAATAAGATATACTCTCGCATTGTATATAAAAATAAGATATATTCTAATGTGATGTGAGGTACCATATACATCATAGAGAATTATCACGTTAGATCGGCTTGGAGAGATGAGGGCGTTGGGGACATGCCATTGGTAAACGCGTTTGGGTGGTGGGGGAGGCTAAACGCGTTTAATTCTTAGCACTTTGCGTCAACGACGTCCAAAAACTTACCAAGAAGCACGAAGGTGCCACAACACACAAAAAACCGAGTATTTCTTTCGACACTAAAAATATATTCCTTCCCACCCAACTGCATTGCCTTATTTATTCAAACCCTCCACCATTCAAAAAGCTCAATCAAACGCACACTCACCGATCACAGACACAGACAGAGAGAGACAGAGAGAGAGAGAGTAGAGCAATGAAGATTAATTCCAAAGGAGGAAAGGACTTGAACCTGAACAAGAAGAGTGATCAGCAGCAGCCATATTGCTTCAAACCAAAAGCAGCTGCTTCTCCTCCTGCTAGTGTAATTCCAGCAAAGAGGAGGTCAGTGAAGAGAATCATTTTTAATGAATTTGTCCAATTTGTTTCTTCTCTTTTCAAAACCAACAAGAAGCCTAAACCACCACCAAAGTCCAAGAATTAGAAGAAGAAGATTGCAATCACCATCTAGTACTGTAGTGTAAAAGTTGTCCTCTATTCTAATTCTAGTACAGGTGATTACACATAACACATGCAAATGTTTTGCCGTGTAAAAGTTGTCCTCTGTTCTAATTCTGTTCTAATTCTAGTACAGGTGATTACACATAACACATGCAAATGTTTTGCCATTTCTCTGGCTTTCTGTTGTACCATAGTTTTAATGTGAGTAGGTGTTCTAATTAGTTGCTTGGTGTGTCTAGTTTTTTCCCCCCGCTTTTTCTGGCCTTAAACTACTAATTTGCAATCTTTTTGGATTTTGACTTTTCTGGGTTGATGATTGTGTAATTCATGAACAGCCAAAATAACTCAGCTTCAAAACCACAGCGATGACACATAATAATCAGTGAACTATAAGCACAAATTTGTTATAGTATGGAAGATTGATAAATGTTACTTACATGTTACAACGGATAAGCCCGGACATGCCCTCTGCACATGATATATATTTTATTTGCGTAGTAAATAAATAAATAAAAATTATAATATTTCTTTCGAATGACACAGAAAAACACTCTGGCTAAATGAGAGAGAGAGAGAGAGAGAGAGAGAGAGAGAGAGAGAAGTTTAGATGAATTGCCATTGCATATCTGAACAATAAAGCTCAGCTTAGTATTTAATACCACTTGCAATTACAAGGAACATAACACATCATTTAGTAAAAGTTTCTCTACCATATCCTACAACCTTGTCACCTCCTAAGAACAACAAAAGTGCTAGGTGAAGAAAAATGGAAACAATCTCCCACAAAAAGCATAAATTGCAAATATTCAATAACAGAGTGTGGATGTTCCACTGCGCTCTCATTCCGGTTCAGGTGAGCCGCCAGGGACCAGCTGCATTGTGCACAAATATTGGAAAATTGATTAAGATAATTTGAACATCTCTCGTCTTTGTTTTATGCTGGCTCTAGCTTCTGTTGCAAAAGCCAAGAACCAACCACCAAAAGCTTTACACCAGGTAGTTTAAAGCACTTAAGGCGAGAAAAAAGGGCTGCAAAGAGTGCAGTAGAAAACTTGACAAACAAAGACCAATATGTCTTACTTACAATGGAAAATAAAGTGCAGGCAAATAAAGACCAACATGTCTAACTTACAATGGCAATGTTGTTTCCGTTGAGCAATATCTGATCAAGCTTGGTTATACGTCTTCCTTCAGGAGTAATCTCACTGTGATATAAAGAGAGAAATAGAAAAGATATTCAATATTAGCAGGTATAATATAAGTCGACTAACAATGCAATAATAGAGTGAATGACTAATGCAAACTAAAAATGTCTAAATTGATTATATATACAAACACTCTGTATACCAGAGATATCCCAGTTCAGTTTTTCATCTCTTCTGATCCCAAGATATTACAGTACGATAAGACTAAGGAAAATAAGCAAGATGCAAAGAAAAGGTATGATGACCAGAAAACATGAGGCTAGAGGGGAAGGTTCTATCTACCTTGTCAAAACAACTTGTAATCAACATAATGTTTAATTACGATATTTCCTACAACTATAGCTTAAAACAATTATATAGCTTTGTCAGCTTTATCAATTCAATATAAATTCATGTTTCAAATGATAATCCTTATTGAAAATCCCAACTCCAAGTATTTTCTATAAATTTGTCAGCCTTATCAGTCTAACATAAATTTATGTTTCAACTGATCCCTACTGAAAATCCCAACTCCATGTTTCAACTGTGACATTGTAACATACAAACTAATCAGTTATTCATAATGTGCTCTACCACTTTTGATGTTATTTGACGTACAATAATTTCTATATGTCTATTATGGATCTGCACCCCCTGGGATCCATAAACCTTTTGGATCTTATTAACCAAAGAGATACGACTTACCAAACCTAAACCTAACCTTTCAAAATAAAAAACCCTAGTTCCCATTGTATATAACTGGGAATGGAAGCTCTAGCGGCTGCCCTGCATTATTACACTGTTAACTGAAAGAATAACAAAGACAAATCAAATTTTCCAAGCCACCGAAAAATTGCCTCGCTATCACTAAAATTCCTACCCTAACGACATATAAACTTCTGCTGCTTCAATCCTGAAAGAACTATGCACTATTAAAGGAGAGTTGCATGACAATCCTAAAGCCCGTACGAACATCAAGACCCAATACTTAAACTTTCCCATTATTCAATCTGATAGTTGAAGCATTTACAAACTCAAAGATTCAATCTTGTAGCAAAAGCGAGTAAAATCCCAAATTTTAGGGTTTCATGCTACTTGAATGCAATAGAATTAAGGGAGGGAGCCATACTATTCAGTGACGTCTTCTAGAACCATGTTGACGTAGACATCAAATCCCCTCAGAGTCCCGACGAGCTCCTTGTCTCCCTTCATTATCACCCATATCTTCGACCCTATGCACCGGTCGATCAACTCTGCGAATTTTCCACCCAAACACCTCAAATTTTCCGCTTAATTTTCTCAAGTAAATACGAGACAGTAGAAAAAGAAACAGAGCGGGGCAAACCTGATGGGAGTAGCTGTGAGGGATTGTTGGCCATTGGAATTTGGAAGCAGAAAACTTTGGCTGCGATAGCGAACGAGTTGGCGGCAATCCCAGTCTGTCACTGTGAGTCGGGAACAAGGGCAAGAGATTTGGTAGTGTGTTTGTAAGTGTACCAGATTTCAAAAGGCCAAAATACCCTCAGTGCTTTTTCATATTTACCTTTATGTGCTTTGAATTGGGTGTGTTCTGGATGATGTGATTTGTATTATGTGCTTCAAAAATGGGCCGCAATTGAGGTTTGGCATTTGTGTTTTTTAATACAAGCGATGTTAAAAAACGAGCAATCGAATTTAGGTTCTCGGATGCATAATTTACACTCTTAACTATTTTTTTAGATTTATGTAATGGATATTTTGATTTTGTTAAAGGACCCAATATGTGATTGATATGTTCCTTGTCATTCTTTCAACATTGGACCAAGGAATTATTGGTGGCTTGTCCTTGGCAAGGGCCCAAATCATGACAAGTGTTTTTAGAGTATTTTGGTGAAAGAAGATATGTACTAAAATGGAACACTTGAATAATAAGAAGGGTTCACATCACATGTCACATGTTAATTACGTGGACAAATTCATTAGAATTACATTAGGTTATACCCCACGGAAAGTATAGAGATACCATGTATGCGTTAATGACTATATGTTACATTTATCGATGATTTTATATTAGACCAATGTATTTAGGATAAAAATGTCTGTTTTTAGAGGATATATAGCCTTCGGATGTTTTAGCACCTATGATTTTTTTTTTCTTCTTTCTAGTTTCCATATTTTTTTTTAAAGATAACATGTGTAACTTGAATGGTGAAACGATAAATTGACACTACTTTAAAGTATCTCAAAATTTAAGATGATGGTGTCAAAAAAGAAAAGAAAAGATAATAATGCGATTACATTGTGATGTTCCAACTCCTCCTAAGCCGGATTACGGTTAGTATCTCAATTTTGCGATACTTTGAAGAAGAAAAAACATTTGGATAGAATGGAAAGCAAACCAATCAAACAATGTTTTAAGTCTAATAAGTGACATGAATTAAGCAAAGGATAGAAAATTGGAGATTTAGAGTCAAACTTATACGATAATAGAAAAATAGTTTGCACAAACAATGTCGCTTGCACTCAATAAAATACACAATACAATGCATGATCCATTTCATCCAATTTTATTAGTACAGATTACAATATAATTCTGGTGACAAATAAGCGTCCAATGAACGACATTATGGATGCAAAATCAAAACGCCTGCCAACACCGAATGAACCTGCCCGTGGGCCCGACAACCACTTGATTTGCGCCACGTGTCATGAACAAGCAAAGGCAGTCTTGACCGCTCCATCATGGCGGTTGCAAGAGCCGCTGGTTAGTGGTTACCCTCCATTTTCCAAAACGTGTTATAAATACCAAAATTCATGTGACGTTTTCTCACAATGTCCCAAATTTCTATTTTATATCTCACACACAGCGATTTCTTCACGCAATCTCTCACCCCACACCGAATTCAAGGACGAATTCAATCACTTCTGTTTCTCTTGTAAATCCTCGCCTACTTTGATTGTGTTCAATTTCCAGTAAATTGTTCATGTTGATCTAATTATTGTTGTGAATTTGATCGGGTTTGGTCCTTGTTGAATTGGGTTGTTAATGGATTCCTGGGTATTTTTCTAAAAACCTGAATATTACTGTTTTGTTTTTTCTTAATCCGTTGATGATCTGAATCGGAATAGTGGTAGAGTTATGGGTAGGGTTTGGATGCGATTTGGGGTTTATCTGTGGGTTTAGATAATTGATTTTGATCGGGTAAAGATTTGTACTTTGACCATATTGATCCCTACCCAGTGCAATGCTCAATCTCTGTTTAGCTATGCTTAATTTCCTTTGGATTTTAGGTTTGGAGATGGCCTTGGGTTGCCGTCTATTTGATTCCTATTTGGGTTTCTGGTTTAGATTTTTTGGGAACTTGTGCAATTTTGTGTATGTTTTGTATATGAAAAGGGCCGGATGAGTGTAAGCCCTTTTAGAATATCTGAACAGCATTAGAATCAGTGTAAGATATTTAGGTGGTGATGTGAGGAAATCATTGTTCATGATCTGATCATGCTTTTGGGTAGGTGGGTTATTGTTAACGATTATAAGATGTTGGGTAAGGTTTAAAAAGATATTGTGGTTTTCATTTTCTCGGCAGCGCTTTTAAAGGTTTTTGAAATGTCAGTTCAATATTAATCTGGTCTGAGGCATGTATACAAGCATGCTCTTTCTAATGATATTGCATCTAACCGTCGCTGAATAATACAATGATTGGATTACGATTTTGTGGGCATGACATCAATTATGTCTTGTGGTATAACTGCAGGTCTCAGTCTCACTGGTGATCTGTTGGCCTGAGAAGTAGTCGTTATATATTTAATCAAGAAATCTATCACTTCAAGTTCTGTACTGCTGTCCATTTGCTGCATTATTTATCTCACATTTTGGAGCATTGTAAGAGTGGTTGCATTGTGATTTCTATTAAAGTCAAGTAAAGATTCAGTATTTTTCAGTTGGTAACGCAATAGAGATCAGAAGCTCCAGTAGGGAACTTATTTAGAGCTTTGCGTTTTGGTAAGTGTATATCTAGTTCAATGATTCTTTATATTTTTTTTATATGTTTCAAATAATGTGTTTTTATTCGGGCTCTTCTTCATGATATTTAATTATTCTGATTTGACATAATCTTAAGTTTGTTGAGAATAAAGGTATCACAGTTTTGGCAGTAATAATTTCATAAACTGTTAACAGGAGCTGACAGTTCTTTTGTATTAGACTTACTTTGTACTTTCTCTTAGAAACTTCAAACGTGGTTGGTTTTTCTTTTGTACATTGTTAGTTATATAGACTTTGAGTAGTTTCTTATTTTTCTCCTTGTCAAACTGAATTTGACAGTTGTTCAAAATGGTATTAGTACTTGTGATTCTAAATACATATGTTAGAGTGTATGGGGAAGGGATAATGTGAAACATTATACCAAGGTTTGTACCGTAAAACATTTGTACCCAATATATGCTTCTATTGTCTTATGTGATAAGAGGAATAAATTGCTGCTGTCTGCAACATGACCATAGTGTTTTCCCCCTTCTTATGTAATTGATGAACATTGAGTTATGCATGATAGTTCTTATGTCCTGATAAATTCAACTTGCTGAGTAAATCGAACAGTGTATGCAAGATGGCTGGTGTGAAACGAAGAATAGAAACTGATTCAGATATTCGTGCTCTTTACAAAGAACTGGATGCGGTTACATGCCCTATCTGCATGGACCATCCACATAATGCAGTTCTCCTCCTTTGCAGCTCGCATGAGAAGGGTTGCAGATCTTATATTTGTGATACAAGTTACAGGCATTCAAATTGCCTGGACCGTTTTAAAAAGCTGAGGGAAAATACTAGGAACAATCCAACTCTACCCAGTTCTTTACCTGTAAACCATTCTGATTCTCATAATATTTCTGATCTGAACATCCCTTTGAGGACAGAGTCAAATGAAGCTAATGAAACTCACAATCTGATTGAAAGCAATACTCTAATATCTGTTAATTTACCCGGACCGCCACAAGGACATATTATTCAAGATCTAAATAGGCCTTTAGAAGCACAAACAGAAGGTGTTCTGGAAGTGGCTGATTCCGAGTCATTTCAGGAAAGGGTTGAGCATGATGAGTTGGATGGGGAGAATTCACCAGATTCAAAATTGAGCTTGAAATGCCCTTTGTGCCGAGGAGCCATTCTTGGATGGGAGGTTGTAGAAGATGTCAGAAAGTATCTTAACCTGAAGAAGCGAAGTTGCTCTCGTGAATCATGCTCATTTTCTGGTAACTACCAGGAGTTGCGCCGGCATGCCAGGAGAGTTCACCCAACCACTCGACCCTCCGACATTGACCCATCTAGAGAACGAGCCTGGCAACACCTTGAGCACCAAAGAGAATTTGGTGATGTTGTCAGTGCTATTCATTCAGCCATCCCAGGTGCTGTTGTGGTTGGGGACTATGTTATTGAAAATGGAGATAGGCTAGCAGGGGGAGGGGAAAGTGGTGCAGGTGAAGCTAATGGACCTTGGTGGACTACTCTGTTTTTGTTTCAGATGATTGGCTCAGTTGACCGTGCTGGGGAACAAAGGGCTCGATCAAGGGCTTGGACAAGACATCGGCGTTCAAGTGCTTTATCTGAACGCCGGTTTCTTTGGGGTGAGAATTTGTTGGGTCTTCAGGATGACGAGGTAGATGATGAGGATGATGATGATGAGAACTTGCCTATACTAAATCACAGAGATTTGTCTCCGATCCCCAGAAGGCGTAGGCGTTTGACACGGTCAAGGTCGGATGAAGATCGACCATGAGAGGGGTCTTTTATCTGGTAAAATTTATGTTTTCTTGAAAGAAAATTGATATCTGTTTTGTTGGATTTTATATCAGATTGCCTATGGTTGACCCCATCTGGAACCATTGTTGTTTCAGTTACTGCAGTAACTGATCGTCAGACAAGACCAACTGCTCTAAGAACTGCAGTTTGAGAACCCCATCCTAATTTGAAGGGGATTCTATCAAGCCCGTGTTCTCTTTATCCGTGGGAGGAATGAGCTTATGTTCTCTTCAAGCAGCCCAAGTCCTCTCTTTCAAGTAGGTAGAGGCTGCCGGCACAAGTTGAGCCTCCTCATCCACGGTTGATGCATTGTTCTTGCTATTCTGCATTTGTATCATATAACTATGTTAATTGATATCAGTTCATCTCTTTGTTTGTTAATAAAATACTATTACGATTGTTTGTGTTCATTTTATGCGAATTGTTTGTGTTAAAATGTATAAAAGTTTATGAAACAATGAAATTTGAGTTTGAATAAAGTGTGAAGATCTCAGAGTTTGAATTGCAATTGAGCCAGTTTGCATTCTCATTTTGTGTTGTATGGAAAATGTCAAGCTTTGATTCTCATGTAAAGATTGTCCACTTGGGAACTTAATCACCCCAGTGCGGATATTGAAAGCACTCAAAAAAGGGAAAAGCTGCATGTTGTTGATTTCGTTTTTCCAGGTAATTCTACAACATGAGAGGTGAGAATGGCCATTGCCGACGACGTCATTTTGAACACAAGTACAATATATCGGCATGGAAACCAGAAGCAGATCATCCAAGAGAGAACGTGGATGAGATTACAACCAAGAGAGCCAAGCAGAAATGAATGAGAAAACAGCGACAGGTTTTGATGAGAGCAACTAATTCCTTCCCAGTAATACCAAATGGGGCACCAGAATAAAATCAGAAGCTAAGAGGAGCATTAGGCACATCACCCTTCCTTCATCTGAGTCTTCGTCAAAGACCCAGCTGCTTCCATCTCAAGTGACAGTATCAAGACTTGCATAACAAGTATAGTTCCCCCAATCTCAGCCCTTGATCATTGGCTCATTCAACAGCCAAGATCAGGTTGAATTGCATACGCAGTTGCAGCCACAAATTATGGAGGGCTACAAATTTCTGTCAAAACCCAATGAAAATGAGAGGGCGGAGGAGCTGAGACGCAAACAAAAGCTCGACAAGTTAGGCCTCTAATTTGGGTTTTACATAGTACTTAAAATATAGTTGTCAGAGCATATCTGCATATGATTTCTACTCATCCCCATGTGAGAGCACAAGAAGTCTTTTTTCATGCTTGCAAGCAGTAACACTTAAGACGACATCCCCAGGCCTAAAATATCTCCTTCTCCACGTGCTCAACCAACCTGTAAATTCAATATTATATATATGCGGAGACAAAGAGAGAATTGCCTGGAAATGTAGCAATATATATTTTGTCATAATAAATCTGCCCCAACTGGCCAAAATACAGAAAATAGTAAGAAACTTGGCAATCAGAGATGACCATTTTTCTTGCTTTGTAGCAACTTTTATGTATCTGCATTTCTATTTTCTAATATGTTAGGGAACATGGCTCTTCCAACTCCTCCCGCCTCTTTCTTTTTTGTTTTATGTCATTTTAATGTTTAATACAGATCTGAATATATAATCCAATTTGTGTCCTCCTGGTTGGGAGTCAAGTTGCAAGGGCCTGTATTGTAGCTCATAATATTATTATGTTAATAAAACCTTGCAATAATTGGTCCTGCTTGACAGGATCAACTTACCTAAACTGCAATATGCTTGTCCAACAATGTCTTCAGCTTCATTTTTACCCTCAACTTCCAAAACCCAGCTTTTGTTTTTTTAATACAAGCGATATTGAGGGAGGGAGGAATTGAAACCTAGGACTTTAGGTGCACGAGTAAAAACTCTTAACCACTTGCTCCACAACTCAGTTTAGTAGATTATTGCTTTTCACACCCAAGTAAATCTGCAGGACCATATGTATATGTACCCAAGGGGACCAATGGGATTGATGAACCAGAGACAAACAAGTGTTTGGCTAAAAGAAATGCCACCAGGGCTAAGCACATTTTGGTTCTTAATTAAATCAAATCTCTGACTTAATACCCACCACATTATCATCTTATATATATTTTCCCCATGTTACGAAGAATCTCAAGCCAATCCTTCCCCACTCACTGCTTAGTTGTCTCACTGTTTTTCTTAGATTCACTTCAATTTCCTTTGTCTTCTTCTTCCATAGGTCTCAAAGGCTAGACAGGAATCTTGGGAGCATGCAGACAGCATAGGTAGATCTCTCTGTGCTGTCCATTTGACCAAAACACAGTCATCTGCTTCTCACTCTTCACACCCACACCACTATATAAAGGAGGCTCTAAACACAAGCATAATCATGCAGGTAAAACAGTGTAAATATTTTTAGTCAAACAAATGCTTAGCTTGCATCTGCATCAAAACTGATGTCTCTCTTGGTGACTTATAACACAGCAGATTTTTCAATGGCTCTTTAGAGCTACAAATGGACAAGCAAGGGAAGACACTTCAGGTTCTACCAACAAGAAAGCAACAACTAATGGTAAGAGATCAAACTTCAACTTTTCACATCCAATTTTTCCAAACCATTATGTTAAGACCATGTTTTGACTTATGTACTTTTTATGTTCATTTCAGAACAAGAAGCTAAACCAAATTACATAATTGTCTTTAAGTGTGGCGGTGTTGGTGTGTATCGGAAATTCAAAGGAATTGAAGAGAGAAAATTAGGTAGTAAGACGTTCAAGCCACTTGCCTTTCTACGTCGAAAGGATGTGGCAAAGGCTTGCTTTTATAGCACTCTTCAGTTAAAGAGACTTGGTAGCATAAATAGAAGGCAGGCTAGGCAGCGTTGGATTCAATCCATGAAGATGAAGAAGGAAGATATTGCAAGAGGTCTGGGAATTAGTACCAAGGCAGATTCGGCAAATGTAGGCAACAAGGTGTTACCGGTGACAGATTCAACATTAACAACCTCGACGAACACAAATGAACAATGTGGCACATCAGAAAAGAAAGAAAGGGTTAAGGGAGACAAAACCAAAACCATGACAAGAATGAAGGAGCTATTGAGATGGGCTGCTGCTGCAAAATCAGAGAAGGGAGGAAAATTTATTGCTCGAAAGGTACTAATTTTTTTTTCTTTCCTAAACATTATGAGTCTTTTTTAACATGTACAGATAATTTGTGTTAGCTGGACCTATTGATATGGAGTGTGAGAGAAGCAGGTCCACAACAGTACTTGTTCTGCAACCATATGTTGCTGTGATATTCTCTAGCAATAAATTATCGAAATTAAATGTAACTAGATATGGAGTAAAACTGTAAAATGTGAATGTTGACAATTCTAAAGGGAAATCAGAGAAAGTTGCATGCTTTCTAGTGAGGCTAAATTATACAAAATTTAGCAATATCAGCTCTAGATGGAGTTTCATAACCCTGAAGTGAAAACTTCCTAGTTGCTGACTAGTGGGCTTAAAATGATGCTGTTCCATTCAGGTTATGCAATTTCGAAACCGTGGAACTCTGAAGGCAGTACCAGATGATGATCAACTTAGCAACGATTCGCCGAAGATCAGCTTTAGATGGGATTTGGAAAGCTGCTCCACCACTTCCTCTGCCTACACATCAATTTCAACAGCATCTTCATTGAAAAATGATCAAATCATGAGCATTAACCAAGCTTTGAATTCAACAAAGTGTCAAGACCCTGACCGGGCTCCAAGGAAAGGGAACTGGATCACCTCAGACTCAGAATGTAAGAAGACATGCTTCCTCCTAGAGTCTCTCCTAATCAACCAACTTTTATTTTCTGTTTGCGTGAAGTTTAAGTTGCTAAAAATCTATTCAACTAACCCCGAAATTATTTTTTTGCTTGGACAGTTGTGGTGCTAGAGCTATGAAGATCATCAAGTCTAAGAATTGTTCTTCAAGGGTTGCATAGATCAACTGCTTGCTCTTGCTTAGTGATTGTAGCATAGTTAAGGATTGAAGATTTTAAATTTTGTGAAAGATTAAGGACTGAAGCCTACATCAATAAATTCATAATCTAACCAATAGTTTTCCTTCTCAATGTGTGGCCTCAATATCTGCATCTGCAAACTCTTTCTTTCCCACATGAAAATTAGGAAGCCTGCTTCTTCACAAGCTTACTTGTCAAACTGATTTGAAGTGTTACCAACAAATTAATTAAAAGTTTCCAAATCTTACAACAATTTGTGTGGTGGGTTTGGTATTTTGAGATTATACTAAGTTCTGTTATTTTCATAACATTGTTAAAATAATCGTCCATCATTATATAATATATTCTTGAGTTTTGTCCCAGTTTATCAATCTTCCCTTTCACTTTCCTCCACATTCTCTTTGCATCCTGCTTAAAACTAATTTATGGTTTTGGCATTTGATTCTTGAAACAAATCAAGAAAGAAAGAAAAAGAAAAAAAGACCAATGTTCATTGGATAAAATACGCAGGCTCGTAGTATTTGGGTTTGGGCCAACACTCGAGCGGTTTATTGAATATATGTTATTTTGCAGTGTTGCTATATGAAGCACACAATTATTATTTTGAACTTCACAATTTGGCCTTTTTAAGCGTAGTCATCAAGCAGATATGAGTATACTTAAGTTGGTTATAACGAATATGCTCCACACTTTGTATTCGAATTTGAATTCCTATTCTCATAATTTAAAATAGACTATCGCTTTTATCAACAACAAAGAAGTGTAGTCATCAAAAATTTCAAAAATAAAAGGAAAAAGAGATTATATAAATTAGTGGGTCATGTTTGAATTTGATAAAATTGATTGTCCTTTTTTCAGAAAGGATGAAGATAACGATCAGACTTTGGGTATATATTCAACACTCATAGAAATCATAAAGTAGATAAGTTCCAAGTTCCTAAATGATAGAATAATTCGAAAAATAGGTCACAATTGTTGTACTTTGAATGGAAGCGACATCATGGGATGACCAACCAAAATGTGCTACACTCACCCACTGCAATATACACTTTGTATAAACCAACCCAACATTCTCAACTACAATTCTTAAGCTCCCAAACTTCACTTCCACACCCAAAAGAAAAGTTTTGGGATATAATTAATTACGTGGCTTTTTTTAATTGACTAATCTCCAAAAAGAATTAATTAGACCATTTGGATTAAGCTGAATTGGAGTGATTAAAGTATTGCCTTGCCTGTCTTGTCTCGTCTCTTTCCAAAAATATATGTTATTTATCTAAACATAGCGTACTAGTAAAAAATTATCAAATGCACAAAAAAGATAAAGGAAAAGAAAAAAAGAAGATTGGATTTATCTAATCATATATGCGTAGAAATGTTCTTTTACCAAATCACTCCACAATTGCTCACACGCTACGCTAGTATATGATCATCCATTCATATCAACATGCTCACAATAAAACTTTTTTATATCAAGTGCCACCAACCCACCGACATTACTAATTATATGCATTCCAACTTTTACCTTATTTTTCATCTTTATAATTTTGAAGCAATAATTTTGTCACGTTTCTATATCTTGTAATATATATATATATATTAAAAACCAAGAAAGTAAAGACAAAAAGTCACATTGCGAAAGACAATAAATGTTAAGCTTACATACATTACACGGATGATAAGACTCAAACCCATGATCTTTTTCGAAAGAGTAATTATTCCAACCACTACACTGGTGAGTCTTTGCACAAAAGTCACTTTGAGTCCTTGTAGTATGTCAATTTATCAGTTTAGTTATCGTAGTTTCAATTTTATAAACTTTATCATTGTAATTTTAAATATGAGCAATTCAAAATTTTGTCAAAATCCTTTCAATTTCATTACGTTTTGAACATGAGATTTTACAGAATAGTAATGTTATACTAACCACATTTTTATTTCATATTTTCATACCACATGGTATGTCACATCAATTAAATCAATGAAATATATTTTAATAGAGAAAAAAAAGTATTAATCACATTAATTAGCTAATGTGGTATGTACACATAAACTTCCATATCATGTGATATAATATTATAGTATAAAAACATAATAAGACTAGTATTATTCTTTACGGTTTATAACGAAATTGGAGACATTTTAACAAAATTTGTAACATGTCCTTCAATTAATCGGATTTGAAAATACAATAATAAAGGCCCCATTTGGGATTGCTTTTTTTGGCCAAAAACCTGTTTAACTTTAAAGTTAAGCAGTTTCAGGTATTTGGTAAAAATAAAAAATTCCAATTATTTTAAAAGCAATGGCCTTTTGACAACAGCTTTTAAAAGCAGACTCTGGGTTGCTTTTCAAAGCTGCTTTCAAAAGAAGCAAAGATGAATATTTAATGAATTTTTTTAATTCCCAAAATTATCATCATTCATTTAAAAAAAATGACACCACCTCCACTTCCATATCCAACTCCACCACTTACACCACCACATTCACTACCTCTACAACCACCACCGCATCTTCCTCATCCTCATTCTCCGCCACCTCCAAAACCTCCACATCCACCACCACCACCACCTCCACAACCGCCATCCCCACCACCACAACCACCACAACCACCAAAACCACCAACTCCGCCTTCATCTCCATCACAAACTTCATTCCATCACTACCACTACCACCACATGATTAGTGCATAACACTTTTAACAATATGTCTTTTTTGTTTTTTTTATAGGACCTTTCCTATTGAGCGGGGCGATAGCATACTAAACTTACACACACTATACAAATGCTAGGATTCGAACCCAGGACCTTGACTGAGGGAGTAAATACTCCAAACCACTATACTAGTGAGTCCTTTGCAACATCATGTCTATTTTAGTCATTATTCACAGTTACAATAATTTTATATTAAAATTTACCAAACGGTTTTAACACTGTTTTTTGTACTAACAACACTTTAAAAATAGTGTTTACCAAACATGAAGCTGCTTTACCTTACAACTAATTATTTTTAAAGCACAACAGAATCAACTTTTTAAAAAAGTGACAGCAATTCCAAATTAGGCCAAAACCAGACCAAAAATGACTTTTCCCGAAAATAAACAATAACGGAGTGGAGTGACTAGCGCGGGTGTAGTGGATGACGATGGAGGGAGTTCACACATACTCTGTGTCAAAGTCAAACTCCAACCACCTCCCCATCCTTTATCTTTCTCTCCCTTACCCATTTTCTCGGTTGCTCGCCCATACCTGCCTTCTTCTCTCTCCTTCTCTCTGACCCTCTCTGCAACAAACCCAAATCGAAAAATGACAGCCATGAGCAACCTCAGCTCAGACGTCACAGAGCTCATCTTCTCCTACCTCCCAATCCCAACCCTCATCCGCGCCTCCACCGTATGCAAGCTCTGGCACTCCATCATCTCCTCCTCCACCTTCTCCCAGCTCTCCACCCAATCCCAGAAATACCCCTGGTTCTTCCTCTACGGCATCCACAACACCTCCTCCAACTTCAACCAGTCCTTCGCCTTCGACCCAGTCTCCAATCTCTGGTTCCGCCTCCCCTCCCCCACCTTCCCTTCCCAGTCCTCCTCCTTCCTCGGCGTCGATGGCTTCTTCCTCATCACCGCCCCATTCTTCACCTTCTCCCCAATCCTCAAGCGCCATTTGCACTCCACCTCCCCTCTCCGCTTCTCCCGCATCAACCCCCTTGTCGGCGTCTTCGACTCTGGCTCGTCGTCTCCGCCAAGCTTCATCGTCGTCGGCGGCGTCCGCTTCATCGGCAATTTGGTCGACATCGAGGACCGTTTGGCTGTGGAGATTTACAATCCCAATTCCGATTCTTGGCTCCTCTGCCCTCCTCTCCCCGCCGATTTCCGCTCCGGCAACTCGTCCCAGTCTCTCTCATCGGCCCTCTTCAAGCGTCGGTTCTATGTCTTCGGCATCTACTCCTGCTTCATTTCCTCATTTGATCTCCACACCCATCTCTGGAGCGAGGTCCAGACTCTCCGCCCACCCGGGGTCGTCTTCTCCTTCTTGATTTCCTGCATGGACCGGCTCGTTCTAGCTGGAATCTGCAACGGCCCTCTTGGGTCCTCCTTCAATTTGTGGAAGATAGAGGAGGCCACCATGGAGTTCAGCGAGATTGCGATCATGCCTCATGACTTGTTGTATGGGTTGTTTGATGGGGATGAAGAAGACAAGTTTGCAAGCTTGAAATGCGTGGGGTTGGGCAATCTGATATACGTGTTCAATGAGGAGTATCACAAGAAGTACCCAGCTTGTATCTGTGAGATTAGCAGTGAGGATGGGAAGTGCAGATGGAGGAAAGTGCCCCAATTGCCTTCCCCTGTTAATAAGTTCCATAAAGTTGTTAGCTTTTCGTCCACAGTTTCGCTTCATAGTATTCTTCAGAGTGAAGGAGGAGGAGATGTTGCTCCTTTGCAGCCCATGTTTGACTGATATTTGCTTCCTCAATTTCTTGGTATGAATTCATTCATGTTCTGTTTTCTTGTTCATTTATAGCTTTTTGGTTTGTGTTACTCTGTCTGCTTGGCATTAGTCTGAGATTTTTCGAGTTTGGAATTGCAGTTTGTAAGGCTGTTCTTGGTGGGTTTGAATTTGTTCAGTAGGATTTGCTTAGCTATAATGGTTCTTTATTGAATTGACAAGAGCTTCTATGCCAAATTTAGAGTAGATCAGTAGGCATCATGTGTGAAGTTTAGGTTTCCTTGAAGAGTTATGATTGGATTTATTAGAAGAAGGAAATCTAAGTGGCTAAATCTTTCACGGAAAATTTTCATAAGTAATCAATAGATTATAAAAGTGTTCCCTCATTTGTGGCAATGTACGTATTGAAAAGCCAATAAGTTAGGCCAGATAAATTAATGTTAATGGTAGTTTTGAGATTAGCTGCTCAATGTGCGTATTGGGTTGCAATTTTTATGGCCATGAATTATGAACGTTCATGGTATAGAAAACACAGCCCCTTTTACATGGATTTTTAGAACATTACATATTGAGCTGAGACTGGCCAGTTTAGAGATTTAATGATCTGAGATTCTCATGT